ACTTTTACTCACCTTCGCAATTCTTCACTCGATTCGCCATGACTGTACCTCATCTTCGATCAACTTCAACGATCAGTGGCGGACCCTGACTAAGCCATCCGGTCAGCCAACAAAAATCTCCGGGCGCTACTGGACTGCAAATAGCACAGCGAAAAATCGGTCGGTAAGATGCATTGCCAGTTACACATTACCGTTCAATTGGATCAACGGCAGTGTGCCATGAGGTGGGGGGTTTTCATCTGGCAAGCGACCTCCCTATAAATACCACATATGCGTCTAACAACACTGCGACGTGGCGGATGTGACTTGCCACTGAATAGTCATTGGCCAAGGCTTCACACTGACAAGTTGTTTAGCGCTACATTTTAATATTATTGATACATATACTACAAGATATTTCCCTATCTGCACATTCCATCACCACTTCACTTTATACGTTAGTACTGTTTATATCTACACTATACACATGAACACAGACCATGGTAACGAATTTGTTCCTTACCAATACTTCTTATTTCTGCAAAATCTATACCTTTCAGCCACCTTCCAAAGGCATGTAACGCAACTTGCCTGTTACGAATAATTGCCTGTGAAATTTTGATCATGCCTCATATGGTGTCTCGGTGAATTCCAGAATAAAATATTTACTAATTAACTTAAAAATAAAAATAGGTACGATACGCCATTCTGGATAGGACGTTACAACTTTCAAGTTTGGATAAAGCAAGAAGAAACAACATTATAACAGAATTTACTGAATTCAGTAATTTCGCGTATTCTCCTCAGCTGTTTACATACAATGAGTGGAAAACAGTGCGGGAAATGCCTGCATGAAATTTCAAGTTTGGTCCCACTTGCTAGCATATAAACCCTCGCAACCCGTGCGCAGAGATTCTACAGTGAAGCTGTTACCGACAACAAACTACATGGATCACAGAGGTGTTTCTCAAGGTACAATCAGAGATCTATAAAGGAATTGTTCGATTTAAGGTCAACCCAAACCGTGTCCATAAAACCCGAAACGGAACTGTAGTGGAACTTTGTAACTGCACACTTAAAACGAACAGCGTGTTCCGATCCACGTGCGAAGCTGACTGCAGGCGAGCATGGACATATTCGAAATGTTATCACAAACATACGACACCTGTGAACCTCTCACTTCATACATATAAATAAGTTGCAGCCTGGTTTTCTTGACAAGCTATCATACACCAATTGTCATGTGCATTACCTGAACTACATTTCAGAATCTATCAATCCCGGCTATGCGGTAGTAATCCCGTTTCTGGACAGAGACCAAGCGTTGGACCTAGGTACCTCACAAGCGGCTGTTAAAAACAGGTTTTTGGGATCTGGGACCCAATATTAGGTGTATGGTCGCTACCAGGTAGTCATTTAGTGAGACTATGATTAGCTGAATTATCCAAAGCAGCGTGCTCTGCCCTTCGCTGTTTTTGCTTTACATCAAGTTTGTAAAACATGATCGGCCCTTAAATCGATCGTTGCCTTTTTCGTTGAACACCATATTTTGCATTATCTACTGTAGATATATCACCGTTATGCAATAAGGTGACGGATATTTTGTTCCATCAACTTCAAAGTCACTGCGACCAAACTACTCTATCCAGCTTTTGAATATAAACGCCGAGATATCGCGTACAACACCCGAGCTACCGTCTTTAGACACAAAATTTAACCTAAATGAGCCCAATTATGAAGAAAGATTTCAACGAAACGTCCGTTTTTGATGGGATGCGAACTCCGAAGATTCAGTACATGGAATCGTTGCTTGGTCGATCGATCATTTAAAAACTTAACATTTTTGTTGATACCCCTCTGATATAGTTGCTGTTGATAATGTAAAATGCTGAAAATACACCCATTTGGGTACATAAAGCTTATACTTGATTGAAGATCGTCTATAGGTTTCGACGTGCCGAACTTCATGGAACGCTGGGGCTCATAACTTTGAGGCGCAGTGCAATTCGTGGATGGGGAACTTCGCTTAAAATAGCAAGCATAGTGACCTACGGCTGATCCATCCCCGAAGTAATCCACTGTACTCAACAAGGAATATGCCTTGAAACAAATGAGAATATCCGTAGCTCGGAGTGTGGATGCGGAGTTAGAGCTGTTCTCCGAGCTGAGTTATTATTGTGCAGACGTTTCGTTGCCTGACTAGGCAACATCAACAGCGGCGCTTGGTTCGCAGTGCCTCGTAAGCGATCTCATGTCCAAGTGCTTATTGATCGACTGAATGCCTGGCTTCAATGAACTTACGTGCTTGCCGGCTACTAGCCCTTCCGAGGATACTGGCGTGCTCTATGTCGAATTGATGGTTCTCGGCATCCATGTGCACTGACATCAGGGAGTTCTGATCGTGGCGACGAATGGCTACGCTAATAGAGATCCACATGTTGAGCTATGGTGCAAAGAAGTAGCTGTTTCTGACTTTTCACTCTTAAGGCTGCAGTGCGACTGAAATCCGTAAGTGGAGACTGGTGCAAAGCCACTGAACAATTGTGTAACGACGCCCATTGAAATGCAATTTTGATAACTCAAGTAGAATGCCCATTTGTTGCGTAAAGTTCCGAAAGATAAACAAAACACGAAGCTTTAAGCAAACAATTGTTTTCGATTAATTCTTCATCCGGCTCATACAGTAATATACATTAGGTTAACGTCTGTTGCAATCGTCAGTGTAACAAAGAAACAATTGATCAGAAAATTTAGCTTGTGGTCATGATGGCACTCATCTGATCACATGACTGAAGGCAGGTGAATTAGCGGAGTACCATTACTTCCTTCGCGGCTGGTGGTCGGCCATTGAAGTTGTAGTGTTTGTATTAGCTTCTTCTGAACACACAAGTCCGGAGTTGTTAGGCGTATGCATACTGTCTCAGCGGTGGCAAGTATGCTTGCTCTTAGACGATGGTTTTGTCTAAGAGCAAGCATACTTGCCACCGCTGAGACAGTATGCATACGCCTAACAACTCCGGACTTGTGTGTTCAGAAGAAGCTAATACAAACACTACAACTTCAATGGCCGACCACCAGCCGCGAAGGAAGTAATGGTACTCCGCTAATTCACCTGCCTTCAGTCATGTGATCAGATGAGTGCCATCATGATCACAAGTTAAATTTTCTGATCAATTGTTTCTTTGTTACACTGACGATTACAACAGACGTTAACCTAATGTATATTACTGTATGAGCCTGATGAAGAATTAATCGAAAACAATTGTTTGCTTAAAGTTTCGTGTTTTGTTTATCGGCAATTTTGATAAGCAAAATCCTGTTCGTTCATTGATTCCAGGGTGATCTGCTGGTCAGCTCGTCAGACACTTAGGTATGAGGATAAAATAATCGGAATTAACTAAACAGGAGGATAGCTGGAATCATCTGGTCAACGCGTTGGATATTACACCCACAAGTGAACCACTTGCGACATCGCGTAAATAGTGCCATTACATTAAGCCTATCGACTGAACGCTCGATACATTTCACCATGGAGGCAGTATGTTTGGGACCAGCGAGTATAAACATATGTATTCAGAGCAAAACACTCCAATCCTTACAGTCAACAATCAAACAGCAGACACAGGTTCACACTGCAATCCTATATGAACTAGAGTTACATTACCATCAATCATCCGGAAACAACTCCGGGTATAACGGAGGACATATGCATCCACCATTTAAAACTGAAAGCGTAAACACATGCAATGCTCACCGTTCATGCTAGTACCCAGGTTAACAGCCGGCGTTACTTATCCGTTCCGTTGCTAAGTATGTTTGCTTCGCCGCAATTGCTGCTTTCCTCTGCCCATCTAGCATACTGTCGCTAGTGCCGGCTTAAAGGTTGGTTCAGCTGTTGAATTAAAAACAGACTACTCACTTCATACCTCAGTTTCGTACACATCACAGCGTGAATGTGGTAAACAACATGGTAGAGGCACGCAAACCATTCCAACAAGGTACAGCTCCATGGCAATAGTCAACACTATTTCGCACAAGGATCAAGTGCGCTTTGTCGTTCGCGTCTAGCAAACGGGAAAATGATCTAATAGGAAAATAAATAAATAAACAATATATTTCTCGACAGTGCGAGGCACAGTACAACCTGATCCCAAATGCCTCCAAACTGCTGACGTTCACCATGCTGTGGCGGCCCACGGAACCTCGTGAGTAACGAATCAGTGACAAACTGGCTTCCGCCCTGGCATTCGCCACGAATTTACTGTTTGATAGATAATTTAGCGTCACTGCACTCACGAAAAACTCGCCATAGTTGTCTTCCTTGATATTAAAGCTGTTTTTGATTATGTTGATGATGCTTACAAGTGGCAGTGTATATCTTCGAAGGGAGTACCTGAGAAATTCCCCTCCATTTTAGGATCTACACCACTTCTGTGGTTGTTTGCCGGAATCCCCCAACGTTCGGTTGCTGCTCCATCACTATTTTTCTGTAAACGTGAGCGGAATAATGGTGAACGACCATCACCTGACTCATACCACTTTGCCCGGAATCGGCGTTTTGCGAGACGACTGACGGTCAAACCTGAGGGATGCAGACGATATAGCTCTCTTCAGATCGGACGTGTTAGTGATTGAACCGACGTGTGGCACTGCATGCTTTAGGATGTGTTCTGTATATTCAAAGTACGGAACACTACTAGAGGACTGGATCAACCCTGATTCTCACCAACCGGTCGAAATGGTTATGGGGAACTTGGATAAAGGGAATAACATTGGTGACGGAATGCTACATGTAGACCACATTACTAAATTTCCTTCCCAGCTAAGTCCTCTGGCATATAGTGTGTGGGAGGGGGGGACTCTGACATCCGTGTCTCGAAGTCGGACTGCAATTGTGATGAGGTTGGGAAGCTGATGGCACAGGTTGAGATGGCCATTATGTGACTGTTGTGCTGGTAGAAGCAAAATAAATAATAGCAGGAGGAAGTGAATTGGGCCAGTTGAGGTAAAAAGGTAACCGCTGATAATCTAGTGATATATTGCGCACAGCCTCTTGGAACAGAAAGTGGAGAGAGACGGAGCGGGTGATCACGAGAAAAAGATATCAGAAGGGCACGTGTTCAACAAAGAGCGTTTGTTACTTAAATAGATTAAACGACAGGAGGAATCCGAAATCAAATGTAATTAATCCGCAAAGTGTACAAAATAAAATGCCACGATATAACTACACCGAGGCTTTACATTTAATTCAAATATAGCTAAATAAGTCTAAACTCTTTTGCCGAGGCTTGGAGCATCTGACTTCCATCGCTCGAACAAGAAATGAAGGGGAACGTAGCCCTCGTTATACCGATCTCCATCTTCGTAGGGCACTTTCCAAACACAGCCCAGGGATATTGGTCGTCCCATGTACAATACACGTATCCAAAGCCCGTTGAGTGTGGCTGGTGAAGTGCTCTGTCGGCTTGATTCGGTTTCGGAAGATGCACTGACAAAGTTTGGCTCATCAACATACAGCTCGAGAATCACATCCGCCGAAAACGGAGGCCACTGTCCATCGAAACACCCGAGTCCATACAGCAACAGCATAAGCGTGGAATCATGGCAGGAGTATAGATGAAATTTAGGGATTCTATGGAAAAAAATACATTCACCGATGAGATGTGGTAGACAGTAAAAACAAAAACAGTAACCAGAAAATATAGCGTTCAAAAGATAGGTATTAGGTTTGTCCGCTCGACAACACTGCGCACCAGACCGGTTTCCGACTTACTTGATCTCATCAGGAAGATAGCAGATATTCGAATCCAGAGGCCATTGGGATGTTAGCTGGAACCTTTACCACTAAGCCACCGAGTCACAACAGTTAGCCACTGACTGGAAGGGTTATTGTAAAGCACTCGTGTGAATGGGTTGCGACCTGCAATTTCAATGTGGACGGCGATTTGTAATGAAGTGAACCTCGGTCAATTCGATCCCTTGAACTATAACCCAATATCTATCGGCTTCATAAGTTACGGACCTAGTGATCGAATTGATACAACGAGCGCTTGACAATGACCCATCCAATCAGTCGCTAACCGTTATGACTCGTTGCCTGTCGTGACTCGGTGACTTAGGAGTACAGCGTTCAGCAATTTTTATCCCAATCAATACTGCGGATGGCATCCGGGAAGACCAGTTACGGATTTCGCCAGCGAGGTACACAAGCTACACTAACAAGACTGTGGAAATTAGAAAACCAAGCTTAATGTACCTCACAGTTGGGGAGTATAATGACGGTTTGCTCTGCTACAGGCTGCATAAAGAATCAGCCCTCATTTTCTCGGCAAGAAAATTCGGTGGATATACAAGAACACTAAGCTCAAGGGTCAGTGTATGTGAGTGGATAGGTAGGACACTAAAGCCAAAAGCAACTATTAGGCGTATGGATAAACTGGAACACAAACGATAGGTATGGTGAGCAATCCTGATTGCGTGCGAAAGCCAACCCACTATATCCATCCTACGTCTATGCACGCGACAGATTAGTCTTGGCAACTAGATGGAGACGCCTGAACCCAGAGCTGCGCAAACCGAGTTTTCACTTGCATTTTCCCATGCAACCCACCCAGCCAACCTCGCCGTATCACTCGTCCAAAACTGGAACGACTATGTTTGACCTTGAGCGTTAGATGTACCCAACATCCTCGTGATCACTTAAGTACATAGTGTAGTGACCTTATTCCGGAATGGGACAGAACCACTATTGCTTCAGTTTTCGCTTGATTCAAGTCGGTAATACTGTGATTCCCCTTAAAAGTGACTAGTTTATCCTTAAAATTGGTTTAAAAACCAAGCAACACTGCCGCACATATGCAATGAGGTATCTGACTAGTGTAATCTTTCGCGAAAAAAACAGAGCAAGGGTACAGATGATAAATAAAAGACCAGAAATTCTTCGTTGTTTGGACTTTATGGATCGTTTCAAATATATGGTAGATGTGCATGAATGCAGGTTTTTCCGATAAATCAGTCCAAGGGACCGCATGAACTACCTTCGACTGTACATCATAAGTGTCATCAAAAACTCATAAAAACTAACTTAGCTAGAAAACAAATAGGGTGGATAAAGACGGATGAAAATGGGGCCAACAGCGGCGGATCGACTCACTCGGCGAAGTTTAGCATTGATGAGAGAATCATTTTGAAAACTCGACCAAAAACGAGCGACAGATTACTGTCCCACATTCTGTAAAAAAGACGGAGCACCGTGAACGTATCACCCATTAGCAGTTAGTATAAACTAGTGGTTCTAAACAATTCGAGGTTAGCACCCAGAAAGTGGGTTCACCATAAACAGGTACTCCCAGAACTTCTAGTGTAAAAAGCTAATTAACTACTGTACTTTTGCTTTTAATTACGGAAAATGAGTACTATTTGTAGTTACACTCTACCATTCAAATAACGAAAACACCTATTTTTGAGCAACTTATTAAATCAAGTGGTGATGTAAGTTAGTGAAATGGTCGATATTGCTTAGTTCCAACACATTATGGCATATTTGGTGCGGTTTCCAAGTTCATTCTGTTTCTTCCATTGGTATGTGATCCGTGAGCAAATATAAGCAGATGTCAGTGGCTTCTCATTTAATTCAAACAACATTTCCAAGTCAGTCCTGGATGGCAGGTTCCCACCACCACTCTTTATCGATACGGTCTGAACATGAATAGCCTGTTTTGTCCCTCATACTTTGTAAACTTCCGCCCCTTCTTTTACGTGATCGGTTGACTTATAATTCCATCTTAGTGTTCATTCCACTAGGCGAAAGGCTGCCTAACGCAAAAGAACAACGATCAAACCGATACAGGCACCATCTAGCTACGCCGTTTGGCAGGCTTGCATTCGTATAGTGGGTAATAAGATTTATTACCGAAAATGTCTAATTCACTGAACACAAACTAATGATTAATCACTGATGGCTAATCAACAGTGATTATGTAGTTAGTTACTTGTGCTGATACAGATGATTTTGTATGTTGTTCGGCGACAGATTGATGACGCAATCCACTTACTTGAATTTACGCCCCCGCAAAATGCCATTTTAGCCCCTTGGCGTAATTACGCCTGGGTTGAGAACCACGGGTGTAAATGAACATATTTTCGATAGTCTCCATTCTGGCTTGTACAGAAATATGCGCAGAGGTCATAAGCCTCTGATCAGGATCAATCGGGAGGGGGCGACTTCTCAAAGATTATATGATTGGGGACCTTACATGAGTCATGTTTTCGGCCCAAAGCACTTTAGATGCGCAGGAGAACTTCCTCGGGCAATACCGATAGCTTAAAGAAGCCGGATTGTAGGGTTTCCTTTTCTTTATTATTCGCAAGCGGATTTTACCTGACTGCCTATCAGGTGCTAGGAAATGAAACTTGGCGATCCACTAGCCGAAATAAATGCATCGCTAGCTACATCAGTGCATCGAGACTAGCAGGAAAGTGTGCATGCCGTGACAGAAATACAAAGTGAAAAGTGTAATGGCTAGTGTGCCAATAAATAAGGAAGCAAAGGCGCATGTGGGCACACGTATTAATTTAACGGTAAGTCATGCATTCATCCCAAATTTCCCAAAGCTCTCTCTCTCTGCGGGCTCGAACGGCAACCTGTGTTCTAATCCATTGAGAGGGACCTACCGGTGTTCATCTTTGGGTCTCGGAATAGCCGCCGTGCAAATGGAGTGTGACACAATATATCAATTCGGAATTCTGTTCAAACTGAACGATTACAGTTACTGGGACCGTACGCAACCTTGTAGGATAAAATTTATTTGAAGCACACTCATCTTGTTTATGGACTGACAGGCAATCGTAATCTGAACCAGGATCTGAAACCGAAGTGAATCTCGTTCAGTTGGGCCACAGGGACCGCAGCACGAAACGTTCCGTGATCGTTCGCACTCTGCAGGTCGAGACGATCGAAGTGCTATGCGAACCCAGAATGTAGTGATCACCGATGTCTATCCTCATGCCAGGGAGCCGCGGGAAACACTTGATACCCTGAGGATCGTCACCAAGTAAGGCGATATCATCAGCATAATCTAAGTCGGTCGCGCGCTCACCCGGTAGAAGCTGTAAGCCAAAATGTTGGAAACCTTCTAGGGCATTCGACAGAACGTCTTCGATTGCGAAGTTGAAGAGGACTGGGGACATAGGCAGCACTGTCGCACACCGCTATTGACAGCGAATTGCGAGGAAAGCTTGCCATAGACCCACACTCTGCCGGATGTATGAAGGTAAAGTGCTCCTAAGATGGCGGTATACTTCTCTGGCACCCCATTCTTTAGTAAGCAACGCCATAAAGCAGGTCGATCAACGGAGTCAAAAGCGGCACGTATGTCTAGGAATGCAACGATAGTGGGCCTGTGATAAATGTGGCGATGTTCAAAGAGTTGGCGGAGCGTGAAGATTTGATCCACACATCACTTCCATCTCTGAGGCTCGATGAGACCACCAAGATTCGCGGTCGCTCTTCAGGCTAGCATGTGGTCTTGCCCGGAGCTCTTTGCGAGTTTCATTGTGTTCGCTTCCAGCCGGGGTATGCTGGCAAGCATCAATAAGTTCCAGAAACCGCGAAGAGACGCAATATCCATGTTGGCTATTAGACATACCACATGAGGATTTGCCCGCTGCTAGTAAGGTCTGGTGAACATGTGACCAGTGACCATCAATTGTCTACAGTGAGCGCTTACTCCACTCGCATGTCAGCGTACTTCGATACGCATTCAGAACAGCTGGCTTTGTCAGTTGGCTGGTGTCAATGCGCTCACAGCGTCGTCGTGGGCGTCCGCCAAAACGCATCCGCATGTCAGCACATACAAGTGCATGATCGGTGTCCACACAGTGGCTGTACCGACGGGCGTCGCGGATTTTTGGATAAGCGTGTGCTGGATACTACTTTTGCTTCAGAGTACCGCGTTATCAGCGTTTTATCTGTGTGAATTGTGCGCCAATATTCTTCTTTTGACGTATTTTCAAAGCGGTGCAAATTTCGCGGCGATTCTTTGGCTCATTCCGGAGATCTGATTGAGTTGCCCTACTGCCATCGCTGTCCGCCATCTTGGACTTGCTCGAGCTTGTGATGCTATCTCAACCTACCTGTGGTTCGTGTTCGAAAGTTGTGGGAAATAAAGCTCATGCACTTCAGTGCTTCGGCTGTGATGTTTTGTTCCATATTTCGTGCATTGGCTTATCCGTTGACGTGTTTCGAAAATCGCTCGACATCCGACATCGGTTTTTTCAAGTTATATGTGATAAATGTCGCGGTACAAGACATCAGAATACGCAGAGACCCCAAACGACTACGGGAAAATCTCCCTTTCAGATAGAAACATACCGTTCTCCACGTGAGATGAAACGCCCTCGTGAAAGTATCTCTGTCACCTCGCCTTCTATTGTCACTCCGCGATCTGCGCCACCACCAGCGTGTTCGACCCCGGCCAAGTCCCAGGTTCAATGTTCCCCACCGATGGAAGACAGACTCAGAAGCTACGAAATGCCTCTTCACGGATCGGTCCGTGAATTTCTCAGAACCTGTCTGTGAACTTCTGTACACCGAAGATCCATGGACCACTCAAAAGCGCAAGGGCCCACGTAATCGAGTTCAGACGTCACCTGCTGATAAACAACAACCCAATCAGTTAAGCGCCTCTAGTTCTGCTCCCACAGGTTCACCACTGATTTCGTTGAGGCGTCATAATCTCCTGGTTTTCCACCCTCAGTTACGTTATGATCACGATGTTGAGTTCCTCCAGGGGCTCATCGATAGACTCTTGGATATGGGCGAAGACAGTGACGATTAAACAAGTAATCCGACTTGGCCAGAAAACTAGCCAGTCATGTCGACCTCTGAGAATCACCTTCGCGAATTACAATATGCCGCAGCTCATACTGTCTCGTCTGCCAAGGCTGAAAGACATAAAAGTTCACATTCGCCGAGACTTGGAACTCGAAGACAGGGATCATTTGAAGACTGTGGTCATTGAGCTCAGACGCCGTACAGTGGAAGGTGAGACTGATCTACAAATTGTAAACTTTCGGGTGATCAAGAAAGGTGTACGAACCCGTATCAACCGATTGTTCAACCTCCAGGCACATCCCGCAGTACCTCCCAGGACCTCCGTGTGGCATTCGCCAACGTGTGTAGCCTAATGAACAAATGTGACGAACTGTGCCGCTTCGCTGTCTCGGAGCGGCCGGACGTTTTAGGACTTGCAAAGACTTGGCTGAACTCTGACGTCATACCCCAAGAAGTCGGGTTGTCAGGATACTCTTGTTTTCGATGCAACCGAAGATCAAAGACTCACGGTGGTGTTCTGTTGTACATAAAATCGCCACTATCTGGCAAACTTACCAGCACTTATCAGAGCGAGGATAGTTTATGCGAGCAATTGTGGTGCACAATCCGTCTCAGGCGCGCAGAACTAATAGTGGGGGTTATCTACCGGAGCCCATTAAACCGTTGTTGCGATTGGCTACCACATGTACAGAAGCACATGAGCCGCCCTCAGTTCTTACTGATGGGGGATCTAAATTTACCTAAGATATTTTGGCCAGACGTTCGACTTCTTCCCAGTCATGGCAACGTTGAGGCACAATTCGTTAAAATGACTATTGAAGTCGGGGCAACGCAACATGTCATCCAGCCGACGCGCGTAACTCCGCACTCGGCATCTTGTCTGGACTTAATGTTTACGAGCTGCGAGCAGAAGCTGAACGAGATCAGAGTCATCGAACCTCTGGCGAACAGTGACCACTGCTCCATTGTGGCAAGCTTAGGACTTTCGTTACCACATTACAATCAAAGGAAGCCAACATTCAACTATTGGAAGACGGACTTCAACGGGCTCGTCCAAACTGCAAGTCAGACTGATTGGACACTACCACAGGATGCGTCACTTGAGGCCTGTTGGTCATTAATGAAGGGGAAGCTGAACTCGCTCTGTACTCGGTTCGTGCCCCTTAAACGTAACGCCGCAAAGATTAAAAAACGACGGCAGTTCGAAGAGGAGCTAGCATCCTCGGCCACAACTGCACCCAAAAGAATATTTGCCTACTTGAAACGTCAAATGAAACTGAGGGCGACCTACCGGTCTTAGAGCTTAGACGGAAGGACGCTCATTACAAGCGCGGAGCGCGTGGACGCCTTGGCTACGCACTTCCTCACTGTATTTTCCAGTAAACCGGCGGCGGTTTCA